GGCTGCGGCAAGTCGACGCTCATGCGCGCCATTGCCAACGGCCAGCTCGAGGGTTTCCCGTCCAAGGATGAGCTCAAGACAGTGTACGTCGAGCACAACTTGCAAGCGGAGGAAGCCGACCTCTCGGTCGTCGACTTTGTGTTGAACGACCCCGACTTCAAGGACATGCCCCGCAAGGAAGTTCAGGACACGCTCTCGTCGGTCGGCTTCACGGACGCCATGCAGGCGCAGGCCGTCGGCTCGCTCTCAGGTGGCTGGAAGATGAAGCTCGAGCTCGCCCGTGCGATGCTCCAGAAGGCCGACATTTTGCTGCTCGACGAGCCGACCAACCACTTGGATGTCGCCAACGTGGCCTGGCTCGAGAACTACCTCACGTCCATGACGACGATCACGTCGCTCATTGTGTCGCACGACTCGGGCTTCCTCGACAACGTCTGCACCAACATCATCCACTACGAGAAGAACCGCAAGCTCAAGACGTACGTCGGCAACATGTCGGAGTTTGTCAAGATCCGCCCGGAAGCCAAGGCCTACTACGACCTCGACGCAGCGACGGTGGCCTTCAAGTTCCCAGAGCCTGGTTTCCTCGCCGACATCAAGAACAAGGGCAAGCCCATCATTCGTCTCACGAATTGCTCGTACACGTACCCCGGGTCGTCCAAGCCATCGATCAACAACGTCAGCGTGACGTGCGCGCTCTCGTCGCGCATTGCGGTGATTGGTCCCAACGGCGCCGGCAAGTCGACCATGATCAAGATGCTCACGGGCGAAACCGAGCCGACGCAAGGTACCTTGTGGAAGCACCCGGCCATGCGCTTTGCGTACGTCGCTCAGCACGCGTTCCACCACATTGAGCAGCACTTGGACATCTCGGCCAACCAGTACATCCAGTGGCGCTTCCAGTCCGGCGAGGACAAGGAGCTCATGGCCAAGGAGACGCGTAAGCTGACACCGGAAGAGAAGGAGCTTCTCGCCAAGCCCGTCAACTGGGAGGGCGAGAAGCGCGTCTTCGAGTCGATCGAGAACCGCCGCAAGCTCAAGAAGTCGTTCGAGTACGAGGTCAAGTGGATGAAGCTCCCCGATACGGAGAACTCGTGGATCCCGCGTGAGAAGCTTGAGAAGTGGGGTTTCGACAAGATCCTCCAGATCGCCGATGATCGCGAAGCCGCCCGCGCCAACATGCAGGCGCGTCCCGTCACGGCCATTGCGGTGCAAAAGCACCTCGATAACTTTGGCTTGGCGGCCGACTTTGGTACGCACTCGCGCATGCGCGGTCTCTCGGGCGGTCAGAAGGTCAAGGTCGTCTTGGCGGCTGCCATGTGGCTCAACCCGCACATTTTGGTGCTCGATGAGCCGACCAACTTCTTGGATCGCGACTCGCTCGGTGCGCTCGCGGGTGCCATCAAGGAGTTTGGCGGCGGTGTCGTCTTGATCTCGCACCACAGAGAGTTCACGGACGCCTTGGCGATCGAGACGTGGAACGTGGTTGCTGGTCAGCTCTCGATCGAAGGTCAAGTCCCGGAAGACAAGACCAAGATCGAGCAGATCGACGCCGAAGAGTCGGTTGACGCGTTCGGTAACAAGGTCGTCACCAAGGTCAAGCGAAAGCTCACCCGCAAGGAGCTCAAGGTCAAGCTCAAGGCCAAGCGCGATGCTGAGAAGCGCGGCGAGTTTTACTCGGACTCGGACCTTGACGGCTACGAAGAGTAAGAGATGACGACAATGATGTCGTATACGCCATTCCAATACAGTGCATGGTTTTCAAATACTGTCTTTCGCGTGTGGCCCGTGGTTGGTCGTCGAGACCGCCAAAAGGGAATAGGGTTAGCTGCGCCTCGAGCTTGTGACCATGTGGCAGACTTTCAGTCGACTAATAGTTCTCGATGTCGTAGGAGGCGTTAGCGCTATGGACAGATCCGTACCGTCGCGTGAACCGCACTAAGTGCTTGTTGTACACGCCCAAGAAGCGGCTCAACGTGTAGGTCACTGGCGGCTCAACGACGACGCGCAACGGCGTGACGAGCGCGCGACGTTGGCGGCATCGGGCTGTGGCGGCGGCGGTTTTTTTGGTCATCACCAAGGGCTTGCGCCACGCCGATGCCGGGTTGTTTTGGCAAGCGCAAGTCCCGTGCGCTGGAGGATGCTGAGTACGGCGTTGGGTGTCGTCTCACACAGCACGAGCTCGTAGCAGAGGCACATGCCAAAGGCCTTGGCCAGTGACGGGTCGGTCGTGCGCCGCCAGTCGCTCGTATCTGGAAACGGACTCGAATCGCGCTCCTAGATCGTCTTGGTGAGCGTCGGGAGGAGCTTGATGCGGTCGCTCAACGCTGATGTCGGGTCGAATGTCATTGTGGTCGTGTTGAGGTCGGGTGCGTCGTCGGTTTAAAAGAGTAGCGGCACTTGGTTGAGCTCGAGCCGCAGTACGTGACGATCTCGGCGGGCGTGCACCGGTAGTCGAAGTTGCGCAGGTCGGCAGTCAAAGACGGGCTTCTTCCCACCACGTCCTGCAGCATCGGGCTCTCCTCGGCGGCCTTGCCCATAGCGTCCGCAGCTGGTGCCGGCCTCCATGGTCACGACCTGATCGTCAAGGCACGGCCCATGCTGCTAAACAGTCTGCTCCGAAAGTGGCGCCAAAATCATTGCGCAGCTGCAAATCGGATCGCGCAATGGTCCGTAGTCGCATTTCATTGGTTGAAAAGTGAATCCTTTCAACCATTGAAATGCGACTACCGACTCATTTGCGGATGACATTTTGAACTTCGAAACTTCGCGCGCAAAAATCTTTGCTGCGGCCCATGACTAGGACTTCCACCGAGACTACAATTGTACCTCCACACCGCTAACGCCTCCTACGACATCGAGAACTATTAGTCGACTGAAAGTCTGCCACATGGTC